TTAAACAAATCAAAGCAGATCAGACTTGAACAGTTATAAAATACATAGAGACTAGACTATTACCAGATCAGACCACACTTAAACAGATCAGACCAAATCAGACCAGCAAATTGCAGTCCAAAAGAAAACATCTTAAATCTAATTTATTACCTCTTTTCCTTAGTCTTCTAGCTTTATCTAATCTTATTTTAATTCATACCTCCGAATCTACATTACATAACAAAGTTCAAAAAAAAATTATATAACAATGATTTCAACATCAATATTCAACACTTCATACATATTCACATTACACAACAAATCAATTCACAAATGAATTCCTTATTTACAAAATCCAATTTCCTATATTCTAAACCCTAAAATTAAAAATGAGATAAATTGGAGATATTTGTTTAACTAGAGTGTTGAAGAAGATGAAAGTGAGGTAGTATTGATAAGATAGAGAGGCCTCGCCATCCGTCGCCGGAGATTGACCTTCGCCGGAGTCGGAGCAGAGATTGGTCGCCGCACTTCGCTCGTATCTGCTGCAGAGGGTTTGGGGATTTGGGGGAGAGTTGCGTTCTGTCTGAAACGGCCAACCCGACGTTCTGTTTAAGGGGTAAGTCGCCAAATGGTTGGGTGACTTATAAGTCGCCAAACCGGATGACGACTTATAAGTCGCCCAACCGTTTGGCGACTTACCCCGACCATGATTAGTCCCAACAGTAGATCGGTAAATACTTTTAACCCATCATTATTTCGTAATTAATTAATTAATTAGCATTAATTCGAAAAAAAACTCTATTTTTAAGTATTTTCCTTTTTAATAAGAAAAAGAAAGTAAAGGAACTTTGGGCAAAAAAGGGAAGAGATAGAGAAACCAAAAGAAAAATAAAATGAAAGGAGGAGTAATTGTACTACTAACTACTCCGTGTTTTTTTATTCGAGATCAAACTAAAAGATTTTAAGGAGATCGTCTCATTTTTTACGAGTATAAAATACTTTATACTTCAATACTTTGAGTTATTATATTTGAGTTGCTCATAAAACGAGAGAATAACTACTAGGTGCCAATAGTAGAAATTAAAGTTCGACTTAGGGTTCACACACATATATACATACAAAAGCGTTACTCCGTCTGTCTCATTCAAGGTCCTCGCTTTCCTTAAAATTAATCATTAAGTTTTAAAAATAATATATTTATAACATCACAGTTATCAACACTAACCTCATAGTATTGCCTATTAAAATTATTTCTCAAATATGCTCAAATTATCTTATTTAATTATTGTCCAAATAACCGTGTTATTTTGTAATGCCATGCTCCCACTCCGCCTTATATCTTCACCCATTTAACAAACAATCACTACTAATGACATCCAAATATCCAGTAAGCTTGTACTACCTCCGTCCCACTTACATTGGGACGGAAGGATGTTGCACAGTTATAAAGAAAAGTTGCTTTATATGGTTGATATTGAATTGATAAAGTGAGAATAAAGTAAACATTTAGAACCACACAAACTTTACCAAATTTGGTATAAGACAATCTTAGTGGGATTTCCCGAAAATGTAAAATGGGACAATCTTAGTGAGACGGAGAGAGTAATAATTAAGTACCAATTTTAAAATATCACTACGTCGTAACACAAAAAGCTAATCAAATCGCGCAAGACCCGAGTATCACTAATCACTTAGGAGTCGTCTAAACACGGGGCCGAGCCAAGATCCCCGAGTGTTTATATATTGACAATCGTTTTGTTTTAGCAACGCATAATATTGTTCTGCATTTTATTGATCAAACTTATTTTTAGGTCTGCATTTTATTGTTCAAACTTATACTACGAGTCCGTTTGGTAACATTAAAATTGGCTGAATTGGCTGATTCTGCTGAAATTTATGATGTTCTGGCTGAAGTGGCTGTATTGGCTGATTTTGCTGATTTATGAAAAAATTATGTTTAAAATATTTGTTATTAATAAATTAAACAAAAAATTATATGAAAAAATAGCAAAAATGATCCTCTACAGTAACTTCAGCCAATACAGCCATAAACGTAACTCTAACCTTACTTTTTCAGCTTATTACAAAATTCAACGAGCGAAATCAAAAGTTAAGTGTTTGGTGAAAAAACTGGCTGATAAGCCGAAAAAAGGGGTCACCAAACGGGCTCTACGTATAATACAATTGAGCTTATATTGATGATAAAATAATTACACATTTACACCTAGAGAATAGGGCGGGCGCCACTTGGTCATAGGAGATTTTTTAGTAACTATTATAAATTAGGAGATAATCAAAGTAATTTCTACTATGATATTAAAATAAATAAAATGGGGGGGGGGGGGGGGGGGGGGTGGAAAAAAAAATTAATAAATAAAATATAGGGAAATTAAAAGGTTGAGACAGGCAAGGCCCCCTTGGCTAACACATACCTTTGCCCCTGTCTAGATATCTGCTTTAAAAGTTCTACATCTTTTAAGGAATTACTTATACACACAGTATGAGAATTATGAGAGAAGTACTCTTTCCGTCTCTTAAAACATTGTCATCTTTTCTTTTGAAATATCCCAAAAATTTTGTTATTTTTCCTTCTGATCAACTAACTTGTGATTCATATTATATCTTTCTCCTCTGCACAAATCTTTACCACACGATTTTTACTTTGTTATTCCCTCGATCTCTTAAAACTTTGTCAACTTTCTTTTTTTGGTTGTCCAACTAACATTGTCACATTCCCTTTTAAGTTATGAATTTGTGGTTTCGATTAATTGTCTCTTCTCAACACAAATCTCAATTATACAATGTTTATTTTATTATTCACATGTCAGCCTTTGGCAAAAAAAATTTAATAAGTAAAATATAGGGAAATTAAAAGGCTGAGATAGGCAAGGCCCCCTTGGCTAACACATACCTTTGCCCCTGTCTATACAAATATCTGCTTTAAAAGTTCTTTTATGGAATTACTTATATACACAAACAAGTATGAGAATTATGAGAGAAGTACTACTTCCGTCTTTTAAAACTTTGTCATCTTTTCTTTTGAAATATCCCAAAAATTTTGTTATTTTTCCTTCCGATCAACTAACTTGTGATTCATATTATATCTTTCTCCTTTGCACAAATCTCTACCACACAATTTTTACTTTATTATTCCCTCGATCTCTTAAAACTTTGCCAATTTTCTTTTTTTGATTGTCCAACTAACATTGTCACTTTTCCTTTTAAGTTAGAAATTTGTGGTTCCGATTAATTGTCTCTTCTCAGCACAAATCTCAACTATACAATGTTTATTTTATTATTCACATGTCAGCCAAGTTTTAAGGAACATAGAGAGTATTATCTCTACCGATGGAACTTGACAAAGTTTTAAATGACATGGTATAAACAATTTTCCGTTTGTCGGGAAAGGGAAATTCATTACTCCGTGTGTAATAGATCAATCAATGCATTTACTTTATTTTCGTTAGCATTAGTGCCCATATGTCGGAACCGGACCAAAGCCAGACCAGTCCACGCCTAATTTTGGTGAATCGGGATTCGGCATTCTACAGTTAGGTGAGCTCGTCACGAGCAAAAAGGATGAAAAACGTACATACACTACTCATTACCTCTAATTATCAAAATATGACTAAAAGTCACTCACTTTTCATAAATAGGATAAAAAATAAAACTATATTTTCATATGACTAATTATGTGTGTCTTGGACAAATATACCCTTATAGCTATTGAAATATTTTAATTCATAATAAAATAATAAAAAATAATAATAATTCGTAAAAGATACTAAAAAATTAATAAAAATATTTAGATATAATTTATTTATTTATTTATTCAATTTTTTTTAAATAAAAAAACTCAAAAAAATAAAATAAAATTCACGACCGCCTCTGCACCAACACCTCCAGTCACCAGGGGGGCAAAATGCCAAGTTCATTACGAATGCCATATTTATGGCAGAAAACAATGAAAATGTTGGCATTCTCAAAGAGAAAATATGCCATGTTTTTGGCATTTTCAGAAAATGGCACTTTTTAGGAAAATGACATTTTTTTCACCGCCCGGAGATGGTGGTGCATGGAGGTAGTACAGGCGGTGGGAAAGACATCCATATATTTTTTAATTTTTTTATGGAGTTTTACTATTTTTTATTAATTTTTTAAAAGAATAAAAAATATCTTTTTTACTTTTTTATTTTATAAATATTTTATAAAATTTTTAGTTATTTTTCTACGAATTTTTGATTTTTTCGAATTTATTATGAATTAAACATTTAATTAACTCGTATTTAAAGGAAGGGTAAGAATGGAAAGATCGAATTTGATCTTCAAATCGCAGGTGGTCCGGAAGAACATCATATTGGGGCATGCGGTTAGAGAGTGTAATTGGACGGCCCATGCTTTAGCAGATCCAACTTTTAATTTGGGCTAATTTTCATTTTTTACGAGGATCGGAGATTTGTCCAATCCAGCCAAGAAATTTTATTGTACTGATTATTTTGGATTTCGGTATTTTAGATTCTAATTTTGTTTTCTCTATTTGGTGTATTTTAGGAAGGTATGCCTTCCTTGGAGAGGTTTTGGTCTATTACCCCTTTCCATTTGTACTCTATTTTAATAAAATCTGGTCAATGTTTTCTGGCATTTACCCCATTGATTTTGGTGGTTTAACTTCCGGGTTAAAAAAAAGATAAGAATGAAATGAAAAAATAGACATGTTTTCAATAGAACTAATATGGTCCTATTTTGAAAAAAAAATACACTAAGTCATACTCCCTCCGTCCCTTAAAACCTTGCCATCTTTCCTTTTTGGGACGTCCCAAAAAACTTTGTCACTTTCCCTTTTAATCAATTATTTTGTGGTTTCTGTTATTTACCTCTCCTCTGCAAAAACCTCAACTACACAGTTTTTACTTTATTATTCTCCGTGCCGATCAACTTCGGCAAAGTTTTAAGGGAGCAGTATTTTTTGTTTTTGTTATAGTTTTAGTACAGTAATCTCGGCTATTCTAAATTGGGAATCCAAATCGTCGTCTTTCTCGGATGTGTTCGAACGTCGATTTAAATTAGTGTAGTAGTTTAGCCAAATCTGGGCGTGAAAGCGTGGCCAAGTGATTCCAAAAAAACATATTCCGTATATGGATAACGGATATATATGGATAATAACATGCGCATCTATCCAGAGCCGCTTTTCCTTTCCATCTATCGGATATAGTCCGGCCATCCGAACGTTACCCTGCATTTGAATCCATCCCGCCGCCGTCAGGTCTCGGAGTTTCGTGTGCATAATTGTACGGATTCGGCTTCCTGAAATCTAGGAGATACGCCAGATGATTTGGAGAGAGCTTTGAAGAATGGCGTCGTCGTCAGCCTCTTTGCACGCCAATCTCTCCGTCTCATCTTCTCTCCAACACTCTCAGGTAGGTACCTCAATAGCATATTCCACTCCGTATATGTCTGTATTTTTCATCGGAAAGTTGTTAATTAGAAGCATTACTGGATTATTACTGTTTAAATTGGTTGACTTCAGGATTTTTTAGAACTACGAGTATGTTGTAAGGAAGTAATTGCTGGGAATATGAATATCTGGTATTAGAATTTGATGTGAACATTAATCAAATGGTTTTAAGAGCATCCACAACTTGTCAAGATCACATTTTTGATTGAGGAAGAGATCCCCACATGTGTCACTCTACAAATCTAACCCAAATCCGAGAACCACGCGGTGTATTAAGCTTATAAAACAAAAATACTCCGTACTTGTTTGGGACTTTGGGCCCGCATATCAAACAACACTCGTTTTTTGATTCATCTTTATCTACTAAAATATTGAAAGAAATGAACGGGAAAACTGATATAATCAGCCCCAAGCAGATCCCTGGCCGTACTAATTTAATCATTCATGCAAACAGATAAGTGTACCCACAACCATATGGGATGTTTTGTGTTTTTTGATGGAATTACTTTCAAGTATTGGGTGGAATCTGATTCCTACACGCCCATGTGGTTCACGTAGATAGGAAAATAATTGCATCTGGCTTATTACTTTCTTCTTTCAAAATAGAAACCAAATAATACATTTATTTTTGTTTCTCGTTCGTTATTTTTCCTAGAAACTAATTACTTACATCCTAGCAAACACACAATGGGATGTCCTAACTCCCTAAGCATTATTCCTTTTTTCTTCCATTTATTCCATTGGATCATATCAGTTCCTAATATGCTGCAAGTGACTGTGTTCATCAAACAATTTAGGCTAGCGGTGAGAAGTTAATGCATAGCTTGGTTATGAATTATTGCAAATTTGCAATACTGAAGCATTGATTTTTGTTCATTGTGTGATGAGTATTTTAAATTGATGCCTCTTGGCACAGAGAATACTCTGCCAAGACGCTTCTCTTCCCGGTCACAAAAAGTGCTATTAAAAGATGCTGCGAGCTTGTGATTTTTATGATCCTTTCTAATCGACTCATTTTTTAAAGATAAATTCACCTAAGTCGTAGCCATGGTCTTAACACGTCTGAACAGTGGCATACTGCCATTACCAGAATTTTTACTAAATGGGGCAGTGACTACATAGAACTATGGTGAAAAATATTTATCAAAATATAAATAATACTCCCTCCTTCCCATAAAATAAGTCCCATTTTCCTTTTTGGGCCGTCCCAAAAAATTGTTCCCATTTCCCTTTTTGGAAAGTTTTGTGTGGCTAACATTCATTTACCTTTTTCTTACTCAACCACAACCATACATTTCCACTTTATTCCCACTTTCTTAAACTCCGATCCAAGTCAAAGTGGGACTAATTTTCCGGGACGGAGGGAGTACCATATAAATAATACACCACTACGGCATTACTTCAATAAAATGATTTCAGCAAAAAACTTTACCATAGACAAATTACTAAAAAGTACTCACTCCGTCCCATAAAATTCTTCCCACTTTCCTTTTCGGGCCGTCCCAAAAAATTCTTCCCACTTACCATTTGTTGGACAATTTGTGTGGTTCACATTCATTTCACCTTTTTCTTACACAACTACAATCACACATTTCCACTTTATTCCACTTTCTTAATCTCCGTGCCAAGTCAAAGTGGGAAGAATTTTCTGGGACGGAGGGAGTAATTCTCTGTGCTCTTTGTAAGATTTGATGTTACAGTTATAAGAAACCCCAAATCTTCGACGATTAGGTCAAATTGTAAGCTCAATTAACTTGAGCAAATTAAGTAAAAGACACTTGGACTTTTACACAACTAGGACACTTTCTAATATAGCCAACCGTCAAGCAGAACTCCACTTGATTTAAACACAATCTGTTCTTGTGTTTGCAGCACATCCCTCCACCGCCAACATCTGTTGTGGCGTTTCTCCTCTACCATATGCATCTCATCCTGAACACCTCAGGAACACAGTTAGACCCATGTGACATGCCAACAGTTCATATTGATTCCTGAGTCTCACCACCCCAAATTTATTTACATATCAAGTAAATCACCAACTATTTCTTAGAGGGAACTTCTTAAGAGTATTCATTAACTTTCTTTCCACACTTGAATGAAAAGCTTAACCAAGGGTCTGTTTGGATTGAGTGTTTTGGAGGGGTTAGGAAGAGAAGGTTTTGATGACTTGGTCTATGTCTTAACAAATACTCCACTGATACATTAGAGAAGGTAGTATTATGTAGAATGTCACTGAAAGTGAATAAAGGTGATTGAAATGTGATATGAACTCGTAGTCTCATGTTATGTTAATGTTCCAAATTTTTTAAAATCGCAAATATATAAATATATATGTATGTGTGTGTGTGTGTGTATCAAGATGTAGGCTCAGCCCTCCAAAAGCCTCAATCCAAACAGGCTTAGGAATGAAAGAAAAACAGAGGTTTTATTGTATGTTGTGGACAAAAATATTTCTTTTTTATTCACCTTTTGCATTGTGAAAGAAGAATAAAATTTGATATGATTCAACCGCACACCCTTCCAATGTAGTGGATAATAGTGGGGCTCGAAAATTGATGCGTATTTGAATCATATGAGCTAACAATCGTCGACATAACTTTCTGTAAGATTAAGATAAAGACGATATCCATAGATAAATTTATAAAAAGAACACGTTGAGTGAATTTATGAAATAAGGAAAAATCTTCCAAAAACATTCCTTCAGGAAACTTCCGACTTTGATTGTTTTTTGCATACTTTCCAAAAACTTTTCCTTAGAAAACAACTTGGCTTTTGCAAGTTTTTTTTTTTCCAAAGGCATATGTACACCATACCATGTTATAGCACAAACTTATTTGGCACCTAGGTATGAAGGTATCAATATTTCTTAGAGACTTGAAGGTGGTGAGACCTTGTGAAAAATATGGCAGTTTTTAATTATTTACACGGGCTGGTTTGCTTTTCATGTTACATGTATGCAATAGCATTTTTCTATTATCTTCTGAAGACAGGGATTGTAGTTGTCCAAAGTCCAAACATGATGAAAATAAAAACAGACTAAGTTCTGCCTGCTGACCTTTTATCATATGTTAATCATGCTTCCATTTTCCTCTCAGACATGTGATATAAGGATCAAATTCAAGCAGAAGAGGTTAACATCTATAACTGTAAAAACTAGAAAAGCCTCATACTTGTTGTCTGTGAGGTCTGTCTTGAGCAGCAAGGAGTCAATTGTTAATTGTAATGGAGCCACTGGGTCTTCGGGGATTCTTTTGCAACGGTTGAAACAGAAGCTGGAAGAACAGATATACAGAGATCCACAGCTGACTCAAGTTGCTGAATTTGGGCTGGATCGTGTCAAGCTTGAATCTGATCTGCATGCTGCTCTGCTAATCTTGAAGAAGAAGGAAGAAGACCTGCAAGATGCAGAGAGGAAAGTGCTGCTAGAGTACAATGAATTAAGTCATGCAATGGTGGAGTTGGAGACCCAAGATGATGAAATTGCGGCTGCGAGTTCTAAGCAGGCTAAATTGGAAGATGATCTAAAACAGGCTAACCTGTATTTAGCCTCTCAAGCTTTGGAAATCAAAGACCTAAAATCTTACCTCAGTAATAAAGATCATGAGATTTCTGCTGCCAATGTGGCTCTATCATTGAAAGAGCTTGAACTAAACAATATGAAAGATGGTTTAATGAAGAAGAGCGAGGAAGCTGCCAATGTGGAATCAGAACTTAGATCGAAGTCTGAGCTTCTTGATGAAGCAAATCGTATTGTCAGAAAGCAAAAGATCGAAATTCATGATCTCAGGATGGTAATTCAAGAGAAAGAGAACGTGTTAGATAATGCTTTAATGATGCATAAAGTTGAAGGGGATAAACTTAAAGTTGCTGAGGCTAATTTGGAAAAACAGACCATGAATTGGCTTCTAACACAGGGGGAGCTAAAGAAATTAGCAAAGGCGATACCAAAACACTCGAGGAAAGAAGATGTCACATATGAGGATTTTAAAAGAGTGAAGGTTCTGCTTGCTAATGTTAGGTATGAGCTACTTTCATCTCGAAAATCCCTGGCCTCTTTAAAGAAGAAAATAAGAGATCAGGAAAGAATGCTACAACAGCAGCAACTGGAACTCGGTGAAGAAAGAAGAAGTGTCATGTCTTACATGACACTCTTGGGAGATGCTCAAGTTGAGGTGGGGGGTGAGAAGTTGAAACTCAGGCTGGCCGAGGCTAAAAAAGTAGAGCTTGAAAGAGACTTGTTGATGGAAAAAGAGCTTGTTCAGGAGTTGCAGAATGCATTAAATAAAGAAAGATCATCTCTGCAAGAAGCAATGGGGAAGATGTCGTTTATGAAGAAGGAGTTGGATCTAAAGACAACAGAATTTGAGGAAGTTCAGAATCGTCTTAAGGTAAAAGAGTCAGAATTAGTAGATGCAAGATTCGAGATTCAGCGTTTGAAGACCAAGCAAGCTTCTCTTCAGCTAACATTGCAAGAAAAAGATTTAGAATTGCTAAATACGAGAAAAAAGGTTGATGAACTAAGCTGGGAGATAACTGAATTAAGGGTAATTATGAAAAGCAAAGAAGACCAGCTTATGCAGGCAACAACTCTGCTGAAGGAGAAAGACGAAGAAGTCCTGACAATTCACCATGAACTAAAAGAGACGAAACAAAAATTTTTAGAAGCCGGAACTGCTGTTGAGGGCATTTTAGAGCTGACAAACAAACTGGTTATTTCCGTAAAGGAGGATCAGTGTGAATTACCAATCCAACCCTGTGGCACGAGTCAGAACTATTTGCCACACCTGCTTGAGAGTAAACCTGCAAATAGTTTCAAGTGGCAGAAAAGGCATCTCGAAAATGAGCTTGAGTGTATGATGGAAAATATGAGGATTAAAGATAGAGAAATTCTTGCTTCCCAGTCATCCCTTGAACTGAAAGATAATGAGCTCAAGTTGGCTCTTGAAAAATTGGATGCTCGAGAGAAGGAATTAAGAAGAGTGAAGGATGAAATGACACAGGAAAGTGGTAACCTGAAGCAGCATTATGCTTCGGCGCACAAAAGAGTTGGTGTAATGAGCCTAGGAGAATTAGCAGTTGAAAAACTTCAGTTAGAAGGAGCTAAAGCTAGTTTGGGTCTCAAGGATGACTATGGTGCTAGTGATTTACCGCAACCCATCTTTGAAACTAACCTTGTTAACAGTGAGTGTCTTGTTGAAGTTCATGCCGAAGTTGCACGCCTTTCGGTTTTGACAGAGCAACTTGTGCAAGAGGCAGGTATTGTAGTTAAGGTCCACTAGTAGAGGGAATATGTCTTACTCTGTATTACTTGGTTTACACATTTGAGTAATTTTAACCTGATTGTAGAATGTTATTGTTTCACATTATCTTTTGTGGTTTAAATGTGGTCTTGTTTGTTAAGGGACAACTGATTTTCTCTTTCTATCGGTTTGGTTTCCGGTTGAGAGCTAGTTGTCCTGGTCATATTCTGATCTGGAACCAAGATTATGTCATGTCATTTTTTGGCTCCGGTATGAATTGTGGACTGCAAACCAAATACTACCTGATGGTGTTTATGACATTTATTATAGAAAAAAACAAACCTGGAAATCTGAAGATTGCATACTCAAATTATATAGTCGAACAGTTTTACCATACGGTATTTATTTATAAAGCTTGTGTATAGTTAATATTTATACATTTATTTCAACATTTTTATAGTTCGATGAGCAAGCCCGACCAAACACCAAAAACTATTTTGGTGTGAGGATTCAGTCTTGTATTACTCCATTCCAGCAGTAAAGTTGGCACTGTATTAATTGTGATAAGTAGTGCGGCACAAAATTTGGTGCGACATTATTCACCAATGCCAATCCCCAAGCACATGTTTTCAATTCTGAACCTGTCAAATACGGAGTATATTTTACTTTATTAGATGTCTCATTAATAATTGGTTTCAAATCGCTCGTACAAAGATTGCTTTTCTTTTAGACTCATAAAAGATACGGAGTACTTCGTATTTAATTACACTAATTTTGTGCAATGATTGAGTTTTATGATTGCAAAAAAGGAAATTGCCCGAATTATGAGTTAATTACTTTCATGCTAAAAAATCATATTATTGTGTTTATTAATGTCATAACTGATCGTATATTCTAACCGTTGAGGTTTATTCCTTATTCAATCTGTAGGCCCAACATGTAACCTAAGGATTTCGAACGGAGAAGAAGGTGAGCGAGTGATTAAAATAAGCTAGATGGGCCAGGTAATGGTAGTAAGCAGATTGTATTCTATTAAATCCAAATAAGTGAGCAATTACAACAGAGGTCATTCGTACAGAACTAAGCTACGAGCTGCTATGATTGATATAATGCTAGAGTGCTAAGTTGACAACCCTTTATAATGAAATAAATGTCACTATTTATACCACCAATGGGTGATTGGGTATGCTGATGTGGCGGGCTGTGGATGACTTGGATCCCAACCACCAAATCTCTACATTAGATGCGCTTCCCGCCAGGATCTCAGTTTCCCGCCAGGTGGTGGAGATGAGCGTCCCCAAGGTTCCGTACGTCTTGCACCATCCGTTGGATCTTCATATCCCGTTATGCATATGATTGACCCTTGGTGGCCCGTTGGGGACATACGTCTCCCGCTTATGGGGAAGACATCTCCAGTCGTCTTATACTCTTATGTTTCTGGGGATGGCCGTAGGGTGGATCTTAAGGATTAATGGATCAATCCTTTGTGGGCCATTAACCCAACACTAACCATGAGATTAGTTACTTATATTTAGAGGGAACATATTATTTCTAATTTGGAATTTCAAATTACATTTACTCTTGACAATTTCTTTAAAGGTGTATAAAATGACGGCAGTGGCGGACCCAGAAAATCGGAGTCACGGGGTCCCTACCTTAATGTAAGTCTAACCAATAAAAAATTAAAAAAAGGTAAGTATATAATATTAAAGTAGCATAACATTTCATAGTTAATGTACATCATCAAAATATTAAGAACTTTTATCAATTCAGGACCTTAAAGATAGATAAATTATAAATTCGGTACCCGAAAGATGAAATGTATTAATATAGGACCCGAAAGATGAAAATTATCAATCTAAGATTTAAGATTTCATAGATTTTGATTTATTTATTTTTTATTAATTCCTTTGCTAATTTTTGATAAACTTTTTTCCACAAAAGTTTATTAGTTTAATAAAACTAAATAATATTTAAAAAATTTAACATAAAAATAATAAAAATTCATGACAATATAGGTCCGCGATTGATAGTCTTCAATCATTCAAGTCCTAAATTGACAATTTTCTTCATTTGAGTCTTATATCTATAAATTTCTTCTTTCGGGTCTCGGATTGATAATTTATTTACCTTTCAAGTTTTGAATTGATAAAATTCCAAACATTAAAGTAGTACAACGTTTCATAGTCCCTACTATGACGCAACTCGTCTTGAACATTAGGATGCAAATCAACAATTTTTTTCTCAACCCAGGATAAGCTTCTAAAGATTCAAAATAAACATGTTGATCATGTGTATGGTCACTCAAATTAATTTCATATTCATCAATTATTTTATTCAATTCTTCACTTAATAATGGAAAATCATAATAGAAATTTTAATAATTAATTGAATTATGTAAAGTGTAAAGTTGGGGATTTTTAAAAAAGGCAAAAGGATGTAGTTGTGATCTTTTACAATAATAAATAAAAAAAAAGGAATAGGAGGGAGGGGGAATCGATCCTTGCACCTCCAGGAAAAGTAAAGGTTTTTAAAGCCTTTCCTCCGTTGCTCTACTTCATTCTTTGGGATTCGTACTTGTTTTTGTGTTATATATACATTTATAAGTAAATTTTAAATGAAATATATAAAATATATAGGTATTTTTTGGAAGTACGCGGGGTTCCAGGACCCCGTGGGACCCTTAGTGGGTCCGCCCCTGAATGACGAGATTGTGATTTTCATCATCACGGAAGTCGGTATTATGTATTTTGTCCCTAGATAAGTCGGTCCTCAAATTATTATGCAGTCAAGAATACAACAAATCTAGAGAGGAGCAGGAATGCACGGTTCGATTATTTCTTTTATTCTTATAGGCTGTGGTATTTATATCATTTGTGGGTGACACTATCTTCCCATAAGGTAATTGTAAGATTTTTCAAGCTAAAAGAGACTAACCGGTTCCAAGTAAAAAATGAATAGATAGGGTACAAATAAACCGAACCCAAGGACCATAGTCTTATCTAATTTGAGTTTTAGAATGACTTTAAGAACATATTCGAGTAAATTCTGAACCCAATCGATTTGTAAGTTGCAAACATTGATAGTAGCAAAACTTGGTAAGATATCAAGGTGTTTTTGGAGTCGCTTGTTGTATGCTAATGTAAAATTGAAGCATTACTTTCAATTACTAATGAATTCACCATTGATTACTCATCTTTTCAAGTGAATGAACAAAAACATATTCATGCTTGCATAAATTGCTTAGAATGAAACTGCAGTTCTCTTTGATCCCGTTTACACACCAGGGGCTGATGAATGAGATTACCCGGCCTCAATTCTGGATCGAACTGGGATCGTTGTTTGGATGTTCGATTGTCCGAAGACCAAATCAACGATATTCTTGAACCAGAAGAGAGCCAAAACTAAACCACAACCCAAGAAGACCCAAAACTGGACCAAGTATATCTAATTGCTATTCTGGATCCACCCTCTCAAATCTCAATAACCCATAAATAACCAGTTTGGAATCAGAACTAGACTGAAAGTCACCCCTACTAGTGACATGTTGTTACTGTGGTGTTTGTTTAATCAATCATTAACGTGGATACTATTCAACGCTTGTTTATCTCAAACAAAGCTTTGGTGGTCGCAATTATTGCAACTCTGGGGTTTGGAAGTGTGCCTATTATGAAGTTGGACTACAATAAGAGTTGCAAAAGTTCTCACAAAAAGGAGTATGACATAAATCACATAATCCCGTTTCATAACCACATATGGATTTTGTAAGACATGTTTTATGCTCTTATACCAGCGGCTTCTGCATAAACACGTACCTTGACTGCGCACGATGAAATAATAAATTGAAAACTATATCAACCGTGAGAAATAATATAAACTGCGTTTCCAAATGGAGATAGTTTGAGATGGATCAAAAAGGAAAGAGTGAAAATTATTGATTTTATGCAGCATCAGAACTTAGATGTAAGTCCACAAAATTCTACCACTCTGCTTTTCCAAATTTCTCTTTCAGACATGTTCATCGTTTTTTTCCAACAGAGGGAAACCATCCTTTTTCCATTCTTTCCGAAAATTGATCCATGGGTGCTTTGGCACCACCACAGATCTAGAAACTCTGTGGAAGGAGAACCACTTCTTTAGCCACAGAATTGGTCTGCATTGGCAGTGACAGGCAACACTTACTCTTTTGCACACTAGCTTTCCCATATTATTTTTGTCTTCTTTGTATTTGGACTTCCTATCTCCATTCCCTCTGGATCTGTACCATGCCATTGTGTAGCCAAAGATTTAGACACAATCAAGTAATAGCAACAACATCCAAGCCTTAATCCCAAAAGATTTTGGGGTTAGAATCATTTTAATAACAAAAAACAATTTTTTGCTATAATACTCTCATTATAATACTCCCTCCGTCGCCAATTTTCCTTTTTTGTTTGTTCCAAAAAACTTTGCCTCTTTCGTTTTAAAGCAATGAATTTGTGGCTCTTTTTATTTTTCTCTCCTCTGCACAAACCTCAATCACACAGTTTTTACTATTCTAATTTCACACCCAACATCAACTTGACAGTTGACAAAGTTGAGTGGGACGGAGTTAGTAGAAGAAATCATGAAAGGCGGGAAGGAACTTACTCACTTGGCTCATCCATAGAAATGCCCACTCTTTTTGGACTTGTCTTCGGCTTCTTTGCAGCATAAGCAATGGAAACATGCCGCATAAATTCAAGCTGCAATGATCAAGTAAAGAAAACACGCAAAAAAAATTATAACAATAGTTTTTAAGAATCTGATTGAGAGGAAAGGCAGAAGGTGATTTCATTTCAATCTTTTTAATACTTGATGTGTGATAAGAAAATAAAATTCGCATATTTAAAAAGAAAAAATCATAAATAGGACTAAAACATAGCACATTTCTACAAATATGTTTACTACCCCAGTATTAATTTTTCTTAAAAGAATTAATGACTCATTGAATCCTAGAAAAGTAATTATTAACGACTTTTATTCTTTGTTTAAGCCTATAGGACCAAAATGAGTAATGCTTTTACTTAAAAGAGAAATGATGGTCATATTTGTGCGCATTGACTCACGTTATACCCGTATTTGCAGTAATTCTTTATTTGAAAGCTACATCAAAAGCTATACTACCTCCGTCCCACTGGAGATCGTAAGTTTTTATTTGCACGTGAAATAAGAAAGTAAATATGTGCGTTAATGTTTCTGCATAGGAGAAAAAATAAGTAGAGCTACAAATAAATTGTTTGGAAAATTGGAGAAGTTTTTGGGACTATACAACAACAACATCCAAGCCTTAGTCCCAAAAGATGTGGGGTCAGCTAACATGAATCCATACATGATATCGTAGTCAAAAGGAAAAGAAAGATAAGAAAGATAAAAAGATAAGCTATGATAAAAAAAGATAATATAAAATAGAGATAAGATACACATAAAATTGATAGGATAAGAAGTTTTTGGGACTATGAAAAATGAAAATTGGCAAGACTATTGGGACGGAGGGAGTGTTAAATAAGTTGTTACATGACTACTTACCTATAAAAGAATTTGAAATAAAACCAATTAAGAAGACAAATACAGTCTGACCAATGGTTGGTATTATAGGTTTATAGTAACTACTAACTAGGGCATGTAATATGACAGAGGGAGTATGTAAAAATTCAATGCTATGTAAAACTGTACGATTTCATATATTAGAATCAAGGGGAACAAGTTCTTAACAAGTTGCGATGATTTTTCTCAAGGCAACCAGCATATTATTTACATTTCAACTTTCAAGCGTACAGCCGTGCATGCAAAATAGATTTTGTAATAAAGTTACCCAACAAAACTTCAATTAGGGGCTACAAATCCAACAGATGCACATAATCTAAGAGTATAGTCAGCAATTATAACCTGAGCAAGTTGAAGTTTTATTAGAAATTCTTATCAAACCAGTTTTATTATACAATTTATATTTTATACAACTACGAAAGCCGGGATACTGAAAGCAAACCTGATCACCGTCCCTGATTCCATAATTTTCTATAGAATCAATGTCAGTCAGTAGCTTTTCTCCTTCATAGCTCAAGCAGAACCTTGCCCACACATGTGACCTGCATATGATCAAATCCAGTTAGAATGGGCAAACATATGGATGAACTTTAGGACAAATTCAAATCGGATTAGGCTTATTGGTCAGAGAAGAGTCAGCTCCAATAATCTGTTGGAAATTTAACATCAACAGCTGGTTCTCAAAATTAGCAGATTTGATCAAGAGTTCAAAACAAAGCAATCAGATAAACCAGACAATTGCCAGAACAGATAAAATAACAAATCCGCAAATGCAAAAAAAATATGGTTACATAAAAACTAATGACAGGAGTAACACGCATCTAGATATGGAACACCTCCAACTTCCAATATAGGGTAATAAGTTTAACCTGCTAATTTCCAAACGACTCAACTATGGATCCTAACCATGAAATGGATCTAATCGAAACATAAAGTTGTTTCTTTGAAAAACATTAAACACTTCACAATTCATACTTAATTCATTTACTTCTTAGGACTCATAAATGAGACTCTACTTAGTGAATCAGAAGACTTATACAAAACAAATCCAAACATCTAAACCAAACCTGGATGTAAATTTAACAATTCAAATACTTTAGCTAAAAATATATCATAAATGAAAATTTGATTCCACGCTTCTGTAAGAAAACACAATAATGCTGCACATGTATAAATACCATGAGATTGCGTCTGGGCCATTCTTGGGAAAATGACTAAAGGCCGCTTCCACCCCCATCTTTAGCTCAGCTACAGTCCCATTCCTCATCACATATATCTCTATGAAATCCAAAAAAGAATGGTTTTTAACATATACGAAGTACATGTTAAGGAACAAAATGCAGGCGGAGTTAAAGAGAGAAGAGAGAGACCAAAGCTAGTTCCATCCAATTTAAGAACAGTGAGCTTGATGGGCACCTGCGGAAGCTTGTTGTAGGAAGCGCTTTTCCTGGGTGAGAATGGGACTGGACAGGACAATGAGACCCTTGGGCTTTCTTTAAACGTTTTTGCCCCATTTAGTTGCATGCTTTTCACACTAAAATTGTCCAACCAAAAGTAATTATCACCATTTAGAAGATCATCATTCACGGCCACCCCTTCGTTTTCTTTTGGGGAAAAATTACAGAGAAAATCTCCCGACGATTGAGCTTTTAGAATTGGGTTTCAGTGATTCTTGAGTGAAGGGCTGAAGGCAGGGTTTCTCTAATGTCGGGGGAGATTCCTGGGAGGGTAAGAGAAGAGAGAGCCATCAAGGAAGGAAGGAACCTCTTCCCTCTTCTCTGTCTTCTGCCTCAAGCCCCCTTTGGCCTTTGCAATCACCCATTGGCTCCGTGCGCTGAGAGTTCGTTAACTTCAACAGTTTGCTCACTTTTGTTCTAGAGACTAATTTTTTACTTATCTAGTCAAAGTAAACAAACCAAATGAGACTAAAGAGAACAAATGAGATTAAACACATACTGCACCGAATCAAATTTAAAAAGAACAGATTAGACCATATTTAAATAGATCAGATCATACTTTGAAACTTGTAAAATACACATAGACTGTTGGGAATATTTTATGGTGTTCAATCTAGTTAATTATCTTTGTATTTGTGTAGTTATCAATTAAACGTGTAATACGGGCCACAAATATGTATCAGCCCGGATGCTTCCTTTTAACCCGTAAGTTAGCCAACTTCTCCTATAAAAGGAGGCTAACTTACGGGAACCCTAACAAACGAATAAGGCTTTAGAGACGCAGAGGCGAGATAGAGAGAGAGAGAGAGTAGGGTTTCCGTTGCTCTCCTTCTCCAGGGAGAGCAGCGGGGTTTCATACGGTATACCAGATTTGGTTTTTCATCTCATAATCTTCTATCTGCTTCTTCATAACTGCTATGATTGTTGTTTGTTAAATTCTGGGATTATCAATTGGTATCAGAGCTGAGACGTGAAACAGGTTGAATGTATTTGCGATTTTCTTGGATCTAACGAAGAATGCTCTGCTTTTCTTCTCTTTTTCTTCATATAGAGTTTTGCTCCTGTAATCTTGTTTGTGAATGAAAATATGTAAAAAATTATACTATTGGAATCGCCCTTCAAAGCCGATCCAACAACATATACTCTTTTTCGATTTCTGCAAATTTTCATTTTTTGAAGAACTCTCAATGAATTGCGAGTTTATGTTTTTAACACTGCTGCAGAAACGATTTTGACTTGAAACAGATACAGGAGGGATTGCGACCTTCAGGGCTATTCAGAACAGTTTTCAGATTCTCAAAATTCGACAGTTTTTAAAATCGAGAGTTTTAAACTCGCGGGCATGAACTCGAGTTTGTAAACTCGCGGTCATGAACTCGAGTTTGTAAACTCGCGGGCATGAACTCGAGTTTGAAAACTCGCGGTCATGAACTCGAGTTTGTAAACTCGCGGTCATGAACTCGAGTTTGTAAACTCGCGGTCATGAACTCGAGTTTGTAAACTCGCGGTCATGAACTCGAGTTTGTAAACTCGCGGTCATGAACTCGAGTTTGTAAACTCGCGGTCATGAACTCGAGTTTGTAAACTCGCGGTCATGAACTCAAGTTTTTAAACTCGCGGTCATGAACTCGAGTTTGTAAACTCGCGGTGATGAACTCGAGTTTGTAAACTCGCGGTCATGAACTCGAGTTTGTAAACTCGCGGTCATGAACTCGAGTTTGTAAACTCGCGGTCATGAACTGGAGTTTGTAAACTCGCGGTCATGAACTCGACTTTGTAAACTCGCGGTCATGAACTCGAGTTTTAAACCTCGAGTTCTGACCTCGAGTTTTTAAACCTCGAGTTCTGACCTCGAGTTTTAAACCTCGAGTTTTTAAAATTTGAGAGTTTTGGAATTGCGAGTTTTGGAATTTATTTCGAGTTTTAGGAACTCGATGTTTTGGATTTCGACATTCTGAAAAATTTCAGAATTTCTCGATGTGTTGAATGTTTCAAAGTTTGCAGTTTCTTGGAATTCATAATTCGAATCTTGACATCCTTTGCAGTTCATCGAAGCTTTACATTATGGATTTCTGAATGATTCCCTGTTTATCAAAGTTTTAGAAGTTTTCGATGTTCTGATGTTTTTCAAACAGCAAGTTTTCGATATTATGAGGTTTTTCGAAACTCCAAAGTTTTCGATGTTCCAAACATTTTGAAATTCTGAAGATTTTGTTATTCTGAGGTCTGTTTTGCAGGTGGATTTCGCCATTACTCTTCAAGGCAAACTTGAAATTAAAATCTCGAGATTAGGATTTCGAGTTTTTGCCTTAGAATTTCGTTTAAATTCACATGCTCTCGAAATTCAACATCGAGAACCTCGACCTCGAAGTTTTTCCTCAAAAACTCAAAATTATAGATTTTCTGCGACACCGCACTGTTTTGGCCGTAACTTTTGACTCGGTGATCCGATTTGAGCAAACTTTTTTTTGTTGGAAAGCTAACGAAAAGATATACATAAATTCTCAGGCTATGCCCCAGAACCCGTTCTCACGCGCCCTCACTCGCAGTCATTGAGGGTCAAAACGTTAGTTTTCCGACAAACATTGTAAATCACCGATGTCCAGGTCAAAACTTAGGCAAATTTGTTCAAATTCTTTCAAAGTCAACCCTGAGGTCAAACATTTTCTAAACCTAACTTTAAAGGTCCAAAAATCGTAGATAATTCAATCAACCTCGCGTCAACGGTCATCTTACAACAATCAAAAATCAACTACTGAAGCCTCCCCTAACTCATCAACATTATGTGATCCTCAATATGCTGAAATTCTACATGATGAGCTACGGGAAAACTGTCATGTGTGGTCCCTTATTCAGATTGCTCCACACACATGGCGGGGATAACAAGCTGTGAGCAATCAAACCTTGCACATTCTGAGGGGGAGTTTCAGTTTTCTCCTCTCGGCGCCTTACATCGACAAAGCAAGGAATCTCTCAAAAGATGCAACATTTTAGGGGGAGTTTTCAATGATATCCTCCCCGGTGTCATACAATGACAAAGCATACCGAGTGCTCAAGTTGAGGGGGAGTACAAAGAGAAAATCAATGAGAGAACATGTTCCTGTGGCTTAGTAAACCCATTTAAGCCTACTCAAGGGACAAAGCCGAGAGTAAGTGAGTGAGTGAGTGAGTAATCATTATGAGAGTTAGGAAGCAGAAGGCTCAAGTGAGAAGGAAAACAATAATCAATGATGAGTCTGCTACCTCAACTGCCTGCTATGTATTGAACATTTACTCCCAGCCACTCAAATACTCTGGACAATTCCCAAATAGATTCAGGACTGATTTAATCAGATCCCGGGTAGAAGTCACTGCATCTTGTCCAACAGTGCATGTTTAACCCCACCCAAGACCACTCACTTGTCTCCCAACAGACAAGTGCTTAATCATATTTCACGGGGAACCGCATCTCTCATTATTGTCTCCTTCTGAGGCAAGTAATAGTGACTACAGTGGCCTCAGCCCCATGCCACTGAACTTTCATTGATCACGTCGTGTCTAGTTACCTCACTCCAAAATATTTTGAAATTTCTAGGACACACACGCACTTTTTGAGTCGGTTGCAGGTCTACATGACCCGCGAGAACTTCCATAGGGCTCATCTATTACAGATGAAGACCAATGATTAGAAGGAAGTCCTGCTGTTGCAACATAAGAATCACCAACATTTTCAGGCCATCGCTTCAGAGTTTATCTCTATAGTGATGATAACGGGCATCTTCACGACCCCCGGGGGGCTACGTTATCTTCTTTACATTCTGCTTGTTTTTCATGTTTTATTTCCGCAGAATAAAAGAATAAAGGCATGACGCCCCGATTCATCGGATCGTAATGAGGGGGAGAGTGGTCCACATGCTGTTAACTCTCAAAAAATCATTCTGGGACACTTCTCTCCTCCAACTTTCTCTCTACTATCTCCGCAACTCAAATGGTCAGCTACACTCACAAGTCAACCATCATTTTCCGCTGTGCCACCGACAAGTTCTCCTCAAATGCATCCATTCCAAATAGTCAAAAAGACTACATTGTGGAGGAGACAAAGGTCAGATAATCAAACTCTGAAGATGAATTCCATGGGCGTCTGAAAACTCATCAGAACTATCATTCTAGAGGCGCCACCGGACATCATCCAAGCTTATCAAGAGCTACTTCTGGAAGGCAAGGTTTTCAAGAAAAAGATTCCTCAACTCCCAACATCAAAGATCAATTTGCTAAGAAAACATCAAAGGGGAGACTGCGAGGATTTCTTCATGAAGCCTTCTCAAGAAGTCAAGTTCAAATGAAAAGGAAGCTGAATAACAACAAAGACAAAGATATCTGCGCTGCAATGCTGATTCAACACGATTCATCACCAAGGGGGAGATTGTTGGGAATATTTTATGGTGTTCAATCTAGTTAGTTATCTTTGTATTTGTGTAGTTATCAATTAAACGTGTAATACGGGCCATAAATGTGTATCAGACTGGGGGCTTCCTTGTAACCCCTAAGTTAGCCAACTTCTCCTATAAAAGGAGGCTAACTTACGGAAACCCTAACAAACGAATGAGGCTTTAGAGACGCAAAAGCGAGATAGAGAGAGAGTAGGGTTTCCGCTGCTCTCCTTCTCCAGGGAGAGCAGCGGGGTTTCATACGGTATACCAGATTTGGTTTTTCATCTCATAATCTTCTATCTGCTTCTTCATAACTGCTATGATTGTTGTTTGTTAAGTTCTGGGATAATCATAGACTATACACCTAGCAAACCAGATCCGTTCAGACCAAATGAGACATGACCATACATAAACAAGTCATACTAAATTGGACGAAATCAAATCAGAAAATTTTAGTCCAATTAAAAATATCATGCTCCGTATTATTTAAAATTAGACCACATTTGTTGGGTCATATTTGACTTTGCATTTCACACCATATTTTCAAAATCCTTAAATCTTTTTCAAAATCAAAATCATTAATGTATGCATCACATTTCACACCCTTAAAGTTGTTTCATTTTTAGTTTAGTATTTTCTTTTACATATTGTTGTCACTCTTGTGACGAGATAAACCAGACGACATGACTGAAATCGTCAGACAAGGGGGCATGTCGTATGATAATAGACAACTTCTGATGGTAAATATTTTTCTAGTTTTGTATACATACTTTAAATTCATTACTTTCATTTATCTATAAAGATCACTAACTTAAGCATCGGAGGGCCGTTGGCTTTTAGCCAACGACCGACGTTAGCGAATTCTTTTTTATGCAAGAACAATCAACAATCGACGATGACAGAATCCTAACATACATCAAATAAAGTCTTACAAAAGCGTCAAAACACAATTGACAAGGGGCTTACGGAATCTTAGGGGAAGAAGTGAAATTTTC